AATCTCTTGTGAATTCACTTTATATCCATTTTGAAAAATCCGTTTTGAAAAATAAATACTATCCGTTTTGAAAAATAAATACTATCCGTTTTGAAAAATAAATACTATCCGTTTTGAAAAATAAATACTTTATTGTGGCCGTACGTATAGACCTCACGTAAAAACGTCTTTTAAATGGATTCAAGAGCGGTCACAATTTCATTGAAATATGCTACCCGAAATGTTTTGCAATTAAGGTACTTCCTTAATTGTACAAGGAAATAAAAGTGTTTTTTTGAAATTGCAATCTGAAAACTTCAAATTGTAGTTTAATATCTCAAAGTAGAATTAACCATTAAAAATATCCCAAATATCTTTCAACATTAAAAAATAAAAAAGTATAAAAATTAAAAAGAGACTGTCATCTTGTCTATTCAAATTCAGATTTTATCATAAACCCTGTAACAATTTTGAATCAAACAATTAAGATGTCCCTATTAGCTTAAGAATTAATCCTTAATGTTAAAAATACAGAGCATACATTTTGAACTTGCATCTTTACAGTTCAAACTAGCAATGCCAAATGTCTTCTGCACTTTATTGTTTGTGCATGGTTAAAGGACCTTATAAATAATGGTTACTAATTTCCTTTCCATCAGCAGATTTCCAATCTCTCAAATGTAATGGATATTATCAGGAAGTCACTTTTGGTAGTACTCAGTTCCATTGTCCCATTATAGCTAACCGATATTATCAATTTAGTTCCATTTTGAATAATGGGTATTATCAGCGAGGCACTTTTTGTAGTATTCACTTCCATTATATATATATATATAATGGGTATTATCAGTGACTCGCATTTCGTTATATTCAGTTCCATTGTATATAATGGGTATTATCAGTGAATGAGTTTTGTAGTATTCAGTTCCATTGTGTAGTAGGTCCCATTCTATCTAATCGATATTATCAATTCAATCCCATTCTATATAATGGGTATTATCAGTAAGTCACTTTTCAGAAAGTTTGGTAATATTTATAATGAGTATTCACTATGTTCCGTATTTATATATAATACTGAAATATTAATATATTCTCTTTTATTGTAATAATGTCGTGTCAGGATGTGTGTATTCTTTAAATATATTAAAGAAATGATCACAATAGTCTTTAAATCTCTTTCTAATATATTACTTAAGAATAATTTCGTAGTGATTTATAGGCTTTGAATAAATCTTAATCAGAACATAATAAAAATAGTAAAATTAAAAATAATCAAAGAGCAAAATGGCCTTAATAGGAAATTAATTTGAACAAAATAAAATAATAAAATTAAAAAGTATCAAAAAGAGAATTGGCCTTAATTGGAAATTAAAATTGCTAGACACATTGTAGAGAGAAAGCTTAACGTTTTTTTCTCTTCGCATACGAATTGAAGATCTGCAAATCCAGAAGTGGAGATCTGAGAGTATGAATAACGTCATACATTAAAGTATTAATATTGTTAACTATTATAACTACTATTCGAAGATGATCTTATTTGAAATGATTATATATCAACAGATATCATTTTAATGCATCAAAATCTCCTGAAATAATTTTTAGCAGGCGTCGACTAATGGCTGTTTATGTGTGTGTGTGGGATTATGGCAAAGCCTCGAGGGCTATCTGCCTAAAGGAAGGGATGCCTTCGTGGAGGACTTTCTAAGGGAAACTGGTTCGTATACACGTTATACATGGGGAAAACCACGAAAACGCCCATACAGCCAGCCCGTTCGCGGGATTCGAACCTCGAACCAAACTACCAGTGTTCAGAGACTTTACCGCTCCGCCGCTGGTGGACGGCTGTTTACGAATACGTGCTTTAGTAGTGATTTAAGTGCAGTTTAATATCCTTTTGCAACATTGTTCTTGTAAAACTATTTATTGCATCAGTTTTTTAATCATAATATACTTATTTATTTTACTACGTGCAGTATGTATCTCATTCGATATCTTATTGCGAAAGATTTCAATTTCATGCAGACCAGATTTACTGCCAGAACCAACTGGGTAGCATTTTATTGAATAATTCATTCTTTAGTTGATAACCAACCACAGTAATTTCCTAACCATTTCAGCATTCCTAAGAAATGACGTTAGTTGTTGTGTGGTGTTATTTATAAGCAAAATTAATTATTCTATCTAAGATTCTTTTAAAATATAATTGTAAAACTTTTACCCTAATATACTTGTATAATAATGAAATTTATTACTAAAAGTGCAGGTAATACCATAATCTCAAGGTTATAAATCCGAAGTTTATAAAGTACAATACAATGTATGACAATTCTTGCAAGTTTTACAATACTTTCTATAAGAAGAATCCTTTGAGTATCTATTTTGTTTTGATCTATTGGCAATCAATTAACAATATACACGTGCAGTTGTGAGTTTTATTATTTAAATTAACAAGCTATTTATAAATGCAGCCTTTTCTTTTCATTTCCGTTTTCCACTATAACTTCTCCTTTCCATTTCCTCACCAGAATATAAATGAGGGTACACAGTATTTAAGCTGAGGATTTTAGATAAGACAGAACGTGTTTCTGCCTGCCACGGACGCGTTTCGTAGTTCCAGCCAATTCTAATAAGTTTGTAATTCTTTGGCTTTGTATTATAGATGCCGACATTTAGGTTTGAGTTTATGATCAGAGCTTTTGAATCAACCTGAATTTAATTTAATTATGTGGCCATTGACTACTAGTCTATCTTTTAAATCTTAATTTGATTGATTGTAAATTGCTACAATTTGTGGTTAATTCCATTAATGTTCAAACTAAAAAAGGCTGTTTAAACCTTTTCAGGTCTCTGTAGTACTTCAGGCACAGCGGTAATTCGCTTTACGTCTATTAGTAGTTTGGAGTTAGTTTATACTCCCAAAGCAAGCCAAAGTTTTCTACTTTCAACTATGAACATTGTGTAGTAGCACAATACTGTAGCTTTATATTTATTCTGATACTTTAGTGCATTTAAAGATTTTTTAGTATAATAAAATAAATATTTTGTTTTAGCTCTTCATGTGAGCTTAGTGACGCAAATCCCTCAATCGGAAGTTACAATTACAAATTCTTTTAGCACCCTGGTGACCAGACGAAATATTCCGAAGTTTCCCAAACGTCATGGAGAACATATACACGAATTTACATACTGGAGCGTTTTAAAATTTGCCATATTTTTTATAAGCGATAATAACGCCAAATGTGGTTTACGCACTTTGTTAAAGTAATTTGAAAGAATGAACGATACACCTTTTTACCGTTTGTACACAATGAAAGGAAAGCGACCATAAATTAAGTTAAAATTAAATTACATTAAATTAATTTTAACTACCATTAAACCAACATTAAATTATTTTTACCGTTTGTACACAATGAAAGGAAAACGACCATTAATTTAGGTTACCATAAATTAAGAATTTCGCCAAGTGAATTATTCTCGGCGCAAACTGAAAAAAAAGGACTCCAACATAATTTTTTAAATTTCTCGGTAAATTTCTCACCAAATATTGTAAAATTTAATATTTAGGCATAATCTGAGTTCTAAAATCGAAATATTAAAAAAATGGTATGTCGTTTATAAAAATTTCCAATTTTGTGCGCTTTCGAGAGAGACATCAGAAATTCAAATTAAATTTCGGCAATCGGCTCAGTAGAACGAAAGATATGGAACTGTGCCATTATTTTGGGGGGAGGGGTTACATACTGTACATCCCAACTAAGTATATGCCATTACGACAGTTGTATTCTGTGTAATGATAATTTGAAGATAATGATTAAGTATAATTTGTACTTGTTACGTCAAATAATATGTTAAATATCCTGTTTTATATTTGTATATATCAGGATATTTGCTAAGCGCGATAATATAGCTTTTTTAATTCATTAACTGAAACAACAACTAGACGCTCTCATCAGTATAAGATACTTCTTTCCGTTTATTTATGTTGATATATGTTTTATGTACTGCAGCAGCCTAATTAACGGCGAATATGAACACAATTGGCATCCTTTGTTTAGCACCAGTAACGAACTCTGAATAAAAAATTTCATTTTTCCAATTAGTAATATCCATTGTCGTGCAACTCTTGAAAATTTAATAATTTCTTATCATTTCCTCTTATTAAACTAAGATAAAATTAAAAATTCGAAGCGGAAGAAAACTTTAATGTCTAGAATTTCCCTCTACGTTAAATAATGATCAGTTACAGGTTTTGAAATCGAACTCTCTTTCAGCTATTAATTAGTGGTAAAAAATAATCATCATTACTACTAATTAGTAGCTAAAACCATCATTAACCTAAAAATAATGTGCTTTGAAAGAAATGTGTTCCAAACACGGAATACATTTTATTCAGGGAGTTGATATTTTTATTCTGCAAAGTTTAAAGAAGAGAATAACAATAGTATGGGCATGTTCAGAAGCAAAATTTAATAAAATATAGTTTTAATTATTTCTGGAACGTAATATCGAAGGAATCTGGAACGCGTTCTCGTTATCATTAAGCTTAAAATGCAGTTCCTAAGTAGCAGAAGGATAGCTCTTAAATATTTCTTCGAATTTACGATTCTCATGAATTGAAGTTTTTGATGTAAAATAATAAAATATTCCTCATTAAAACGAAGGAGATAGCTTTGATGTAATGGTAACTAATTACATTTTTTTGTTTAATGTCAAAAGTCTTTGATACTGAATAGACGCTGAACGAAAAATTAATTTTATAAACTTTAAACGTATTTTGTTGTTGTTTCAAATGTCCGAACAAACTTAATGCATTCGTTGGAAATGGCTAACTTAGTTGTTTTACCACCAAGACACAGAGAACACAGAAGTCGACCGAACTGCACCCTGAGAAAGAAGAATAAAAAAGAAAGAAGAAGTTCTGTTTTAGCATAAATGGAGAACTGATCCTTAGGTCTCCCACCCATCTTTCTCTAACACAGAACCTTTCGAAAGGGCTATTGGATCTCTAGCATATTAAGTACCTCCATGCCGCACAGATAAAAATCCAAGCTTTCTCCGGAATACAATACATCAGCAACATCGGCAATCTCCAACAATACATCAGAAACATCCGCAATCTCCAACAATACATCAGCAACATCGGCAATCTCCAACAATACATCAGCAACATCAGCAATCTCCAACAAAACATCAGAAACATCGGCAATCTCCAACAATACATCAGCAACATCGGCGGCAATCTCCAACAATACATCAGAAACATCGGCAATCACTATACTGATGAGAGCTGCACTTTAGATTTATAACACTGCTATTTAAGCAATTTTATACGTATGCCCATCTAAAGATATTTAGTAGCTATTAAATATCTTCAGTAAAGTATGTATCAGTTAGTATCGTAGTTTTTGCTCCTGGGGAGTACCATCGACCTTGCACACATAAGCAGATTAAAACTCAAGAACACTTCATTTTTCCTTTCCTCTTGGGCTACAGTTAAAACTGGAATATATGAAACAAAATGAATGATTGACTTGTCGGCAATATATTAGCAAAATTTAGGTGATCAGCCTTTTAATATTATAAATTACAAAGAACAAGTATTTCACAAACGCAACATCTATTGTTCCTATCAACTAAGCATTTGAAGTTTCTAACGACCGTTAAGACAAACAGGAACACTGCGGCTTCCGACCAATACAAACTGGTGTAGATTTCAAAACAGTTCGAAACGCGATGTTCGAAAGACATGAATTGCGGTTAACCTGTCTAGTTTTTAAATTATCTTTCGCGTTTTTTAATCTCTTTAACCTCCTAACTTTATCGAATATATGTGACGTGAACCAAAGGAAAGACAGGAAGCTTAGCTTAACTGTTTACAGGAATCATAAAGTCGCGACTATTTAAGACATTAGTTTAAACATAGTAACTTTTAATGAGTTTAAAATATCAAATTTAAGTTAGGTTTAGTTTTAATGGAAAACTCTGATATGGGTACCACATGAGTTCCTTGTACAGCCTGATGAATTATGGGCATTTTTGCTGCAACAATAAACTGATATTAAAAATTGTTAGATTAACAAGAAATTGGTATTAAATATTATTAGATATTTATCGTTAGATTAATCGCATATATAAACTAATATTATATAGTTATACTTCGTTTATTTGTAGAACATCATTTAAAACACTTCTGCTATTGGAAATATATGCCTACAACCAACGACTACGAAATCAAAAGCCGGGTATATAGGTTAGGATGAAAGACCGAAATCTGGAGAATGTCGACTTTCACCGGTGAATGTCAACATTCATATAGTCTCTTGATGTATGTCCGAAATATTTTCCAAATACTCTTATTTCTGACTTACACCGGTCAATGTCGACATTCACCATGTACTAATGGTGAATGTTGAACATATAACAATATTATATTTTCTCTCCGTAATTAGTCGCGAATAAAAAACGCACTTGAAACTTGAAATAAGAACGTAAGAACATGAGAACCTAAAACACACAATACATTCAAAATGAGGAAAGGAAAATAATAGAGTTAAAAACTTACTTAATTATCCGTACGTTCTAAATGAGAAAAATAAAAATAACAGTAATAAAAACTTACTAAATTATGTGATTTCAAATCTTATTTATTTCAAAAACTTAAACTATTATGGCACTTTATGACCTCTCTTTTCGACTTACACCAGAGCATATCTGTGATTGTCGGCATACACCGGTGAGGTTCCGAATATACAAGAATGTAGTGCAATATTCGATCTTTCACCAACGTATTTGGTGAATGTTAACATTCTCCGGTGAAAGTCGACGTTTTCCAATTTCGGTCTTTCACCAACGTATTTGGTGAATGTTAACATTCTCCGGTGAAAGTCGACGTTTTCCAATTTCGGTCTTTCACGGTAACATATATACAAGATGGTAATAAGATGACTTGGAGTAAGTTACAACTGACTGATGAAATTTCTCTGCGTTGCGACTTGGAAAGACTTTATGGTGTAGTCAGAAAGATGACATGAGAAGAAGAGACTTGTAGACAGACACGACCGAATTGAATATAATTTTTATTGCGGGACACGAACTGATTATCGAAAATTTATTTTTAGTCACGCATGATCATGGACGCAATGCGTACCCAAAAATTTAATGCAGACTATCGCGTTTTAGGTAACGACGTAGTTAGCAGCATATACGTACGTACAAACATCACGAAAAAAATCCTTTTTGAATCTTTCATCTGTCCTACTGGCCTCCTGTCTTTCTTTTTGGCACCTTTCAGCATTTCATGTAGCAGTGCTTGTGTTTTTGCAGCATCTTTCAAATACCTGCGGTAAAAATTCACAGGCCTAGAAATGTACGAGTAGCAAGGTTTTGGTAACGAATCCAAGATCCCTTGACTTTCGCAGGGAGAGGTTTGTGATTCCTTTGGCTGTAGGGTATCCCAAAATTCTATTTGGTACACCCATTAGGGATTTTGTACGTAATACGAAGACCATAGATTCAGGCCTCTCACAAACTAACTTAAGGTGCTCTTTGTGGCTTTTGATGAGGGAAGCAGCACAGCATCTAAATATTGGAAAGAAAAGTCAGGCCAGGAAAAGTCATTTAAAAACGTTGGAAATGTAGATGGGGCTTTCGGTAGGCCATAAACATGAATTCAGAAACCAAGGCTAAGGATGGCAGTTTGGGCTATCTTTTCCGCCAGATTTGATAATAAGCCTTGCCAAGCATTTTAGAAAAGATTATTTTGCAAGTCAGGTTGAAATCTCTATTCGAGGGGGATAGATCAGGAATAGTTTGCGTTTAATCGCCGATTAGCACCACAGGGACCGTAGGTGGCCATCTTTCGTTAAACTAGGTGGCATGGGACTAGCCCGAGATTTTGATGGTCGAATTATGTTATGGTCAACAAAAGGAATTCCGGCTTGGCTAATGCCATTTGGCAGGATCTAGTTGTCGTGGACGAGAGTGAACAGGTGTCCTTTGGTAGTAAGTAATGCGGACATCATCATGCTAAACAGAGGTACTCAAAATATTAGGTTTGTGATACCCGGATAATTGAAGTAAATCAGAAAATTGAGACTGATCAAAAGTGCTAATGGCAGTGCTAAGTTAAGACAAATATTCACTGTGAATAAAAACCGGGGATCCATCAATCAATTTTCCTTTTGGGAATATCATCAGAAGGGAAATCTATTTAAAAATCATCCACCAATATCCCTTACTTACCTTGGCTACCACAAAGGCCGGGACTTGCGTCGTAGTCCGAGATCGATGTTAAAGTTAGAATCCAAAGGGGATTTCAGTTCCATTAGCTGCATACAATGTGTAGGAGCAAGGTGTTTCTGCTTTTAAATTTGCTGGAAGGAGAGATACATCAGGAGAGATAAATCTACTAAAAACCGTAAACCCGTTTTTCTGTCCTACACAAATAATTTGAATTTGCGGCAATCAGAACTCACTGGAGCAGGACTTGCCGTCGATTCTACTGCTGGTTCATGTTTTCCGATTGTTTCCAGCTGAAAGGTTCCTTACATTTTTCTGGGAAACACTTCTTGCCAAACTTGAAGTGGTAATAGCAGTATTTATCATTTGGATCGAAACTCTTCCTGGATCTGTTGCGACTCATACTGCAATTTCCACAGGACTCCGATATCGCGATCAGGAGTTACAGGCAGTCATATTTGCTATTTGAAGTTCCAAAGCAGAAATCTTATTTATGAGCTCGTCCACAGGAATAGTATTCTTGTTAACACTGGCAAGTTCCGATCGTGGTTGCATTTCTAATATTTTATCTGCCATCGTAGCTAATTTTTCCAAGTCCTTGTCACTTACAATCAGCACATGTTTCACCGCATCAAGCATTTTTTCAAGCCAAAGAGTTCATAGCACTTCGGAAATATCATCCGTGTCACTGAATGATCTCATTCTGCGTATTAGCTGGCTGGGTTTCGTATCACCCAGATCTAATCCCGTAAGGAGATGTTTGATTTTTAGATTTTTCACTTTCTTTAAACGTCTGCATCAAATGTGCTTTAGCAGCAGAATATTTATTGGTTCCAGCATCCTTTATTGTATCCCAGATATTTTCGATAAATCGTGGTTCGAGCTGGGCCATGAGGTAATTGAACTTCGTCTCCTTGCTGGTTATTCCACTAATGGCGAACTGGGCTTCCACTTGGTAGAACCAAATTTCTGGTTTGTCGACCCAGAAAAGAGGTATTTTTACGCTATCTCTGTTAGCCTCAGTCTTATCCTCAACCATGGAAGTCTGTACGTCAGACATGATGAACGAAATGTTCCAGAAGAGAGTCCTAAAGGTCACCACATATAGTTACACGCTTCTGCTCAACTGGAAAATATCAGCATTTCCCCAAGTACTACGCAAAATAATATGTTTGGGCATATCACATCATTTGCTTACATATCCATTTATTAAAAATAAAATAAAATATGACTGGTTAGCCCATTTAGATAATAATAACTTCTCAATGAAACTTAGCACATATAAAAAACACTTTATTTCCACTGCTGTCGAGCACATGGTGATCAGTACATCAGGTTTACAGTTGGAATTGCAGTTAAGAAAAAAACACAAGAAAAAATTAGGCTTAGGCAATCAAAAAACAATAACAAAATTACAAAAAAACACTTTTAAAAATCAGTTGCAATATCTCCGCAACCATTTTTTCTTTCTAATTAATCATTATTTTTATAATTTGTTATATTATTTCCCCAATTTAATGCTACAGCCATATTCAACTGTGAATACTGCTTCCTGCAGTGCACCATCTGGTGGTTAGATATAAAGTGAATGTTGCTCTAACGTCCTTTATTGTGTTCATACGTACAGCTTCCGCATATCCTAGTATCGATTAGCTTTATGCAGACGATACGGCCATCTTCAACATACAAATCACCACGGAATCTCTACATTACAGAGTTACCTTTTCAGCCTAGAACTCTGGATCGGACTGTATAAAAATCAAAATTAATGTCGCTAATGTGCTGCCCTTTATTCATCAGAAACATCCCTCGTTTAGATAATCTAATTTCTTCGGTAACCTATTCCTGGTTACTACTTACAAACCTTGGTGTTTTACTAGACTCAAATTAACTTGGCACTTCACATTCAAAAAATTATTGCGAATGCGGAAGCTGTCAAAGCCAACCTTTTTCGTTAAAAATAGCGATCTGTCACTTGATAACAAGATCTTGCTTTATAAATCTATCATAAGGCCTATTCTCACTTACGCGAGACCCATCTGGGGCTGATGTCACGTCTGTACAGATGTCACGCCAAAAGGATCATCCAAATAGATTCTAGGAAACGCTCAAAGAGAAGTTTTCCATTGAACTATGTTGTTATTACATATGGCATTATTCGAAGGATCAATCCAAACATATAAAACAGATCAAGTATCACACAATCGCTGAAATATTATATCCGACATTTTTCTCGGTTACAATAGTTCATTTACTTCGTACAAAGAAGTAAAAATTGTTTACTTTGAGAGATAGTAATTAATTAATTAATTAATTTCTGTGTTTAATTCTGCAATTATTCTGTAATTAATTTCCTCCTACATTTGTTTGATTAAGAAAATTTTCAGAAATACTTTTTTTCATTCTTTCTTGTAGAACCTGCGAATGTTTATTACTTTCACTGCAATAGAAACTCTGAAAAATCTTTAAACCCAAAGTTTTTGAGGTACTTTTTTTGGAACATAAATGATGAATTATATTACACTGAATGGAAAGAATTAAGAAAACAAGAAATCATTGAGGCGTCTTCCTGAGCTGACTTGATAGCTACTAATTTGTAATGTCAAGGAACTATTTTATATTTTATATATAAAACAGTTCGTCATTTTTTATTATAATTTTTTACTATTGCTTCCTTTACAGATGCTTGTGGCGGTGTTATTGAAGAGACGAATGGAACCATTATCAGTCCTTCCTTTCCTGATTTATATCCACCTAATAAGATCTGCATATGGGAGATCATAGCTCCACCTCAGTACAGAATCACTCTCAACTTCACGCACTTTGACCTCGAGGGTAACAATGTACGTATGTGTAAAATCGTAGTTTAAACTAAGTACAACAGATTATGTATAGTTTTAAGGTTACCTTCAAACGCTTAGTGCCTGAGGATAACCTCAAAATAGGCAATGTTTGTCAAAACTGTGTATTATTTCTTTAGTTACTTCAATACGCACAAAATTTACTTAATGTTTCTTGTACAGATTTTCGTTTTTCCCGCTACAGAGTCTGTTCACACATTTTTTAGACGATGTATATTGTATTAACAAAACTAAATTACATAAAATTCTTGTGTTTTAAATGTTCTATTTGACATCCCTTATTCTGAACTATCTTTCGACACCGCAATTTCCAGGATAATAATGCTTTTGAAGTGGCAGGAAGAGGTATTCTATCCCATTCCTCCGAACAGCTTCCAGAGCCTGTTAGGGTTTGGGGACAACGTTTGGATAATGCAGTTTTTAAATCCGAAGCACAAAAATCCATAGATGACACATCGGGAGATTGAGTAGGTATATCAGTGAAGGGTATGGCCTTGATACCAGTTTTTGTTCCATTTTTTGGAAATTTACAGTGGATTTTGATGTGCTACTAGCTTTGTCCTGATGGAGTCTCACAGATTGATGGCACTGTGGGTAAAGCGATGGTTTTCATTCAGAAAAAAATTGGCGATAAAATATGTTCCTGATAGTATTTGGAATTAATCTGACATTTTTTGCACTCTTTTATTTTTTAACTTGCCATTATAAGAAAAAACCGCAACAATCATGAATCCTTAGAAAAATTTCTTTTGATTCTATAAACATGTACTTAATTTTTTCTCCCTTTATGATAATAAATGGCTCTTTTTTTGTTACAATCATTTAAATACACCCATGCTTCATCTACTTGGACAATGTTTTCCATTTTTCTTTGGATACGTGTTTCTCTATAGAATTCTGCAGCGTGTTCCTGCGTTGAGCGATATGCTTGGAAGAAGACGATGCACATTGCTTTTTTCGCTTTCTTAAGATATAATAACGTTTATCATTTTGTTACAGTGGACACTGAGCATTTTAATGATTTTGCAACTGTCCTTTGGCTAGGGGGATACCTTTGCAATAGTCGAAAGATGTCCGTTTTTCCCTTGGATACTTATTTGGAATTTTTGTCCCACTTGAGGCTCCAATTTGACGCTTGTTTCCTTTCTTGTTGATGATATTACCTATCGACGCTTTAGATATCACAAAACCATGACTTTCACATTGTTTTCGGATAACGGAGTATGCATATTTCTCTTCGGAAAGAGCGTAAATGTAGTCTTCGAACCACTGCTTTGTTAAATTCGCCATTTTGAATAAAAACAAAATTTTCAAGCCACAGACGATAATTTTGACTTGCAATTAAAAACATAACACAATTGCAATTACTTCTTTTGTAGCAAACGATTTTTTATTACCGCTTACCAAAACTGTCTAAAAAATGTGCGAACGGCCTCTGTAGAATCTGGTAAAAATATAAGATTTATGATAGCCAGTTTTCCGTATATCTTACATGCAATATTTGATTATTTCAGCCAAAAAACTGGCATATGTTTCGAGTTTTGGGGCGTTGCTGAATTTCAGAAGGATTGCTGGTCTGTATGCTAATTTAGCCCATTCATTACCAGCAGGGAAAATGTGAATTTAATCTCCGAACTAATGATTAAGCAGCAAACACGTTCACTCACGAGTTAACTTCTTATTTTTATATCTTAGCAGAAAAGTTCATTGACGAAAAATATTTGCATATCCCACTAAAACTTCCTTCCATTTTTCTTTTACAATAAATAGGTACAATGGAAAGCACAACATTTTAGAACGGAGATAATTCAAAAAAAGAATTTAATTCAATATTTTACCTTTTCTATCTCTTTTAAAATGGTATCGTCCTTATCAGAGATATTAGATAACCTTTTTTTTTATAAAATTCTTCCATAAATGAAAACATATTTTAAAATTGTATCGTTCATTTCAGAGATGTTAGATAACCTTTTTGTTACAAAATTAATAAAATCTTTAATTATTGAAAGATTTGATGAAAGTATATTAAAAAATTCTATGAAAATGACTGGTTCTATGTTGCGTATTTAAATAAACTTTGACAAATTCATTCTGTAATAATTCAGTTGAAATTAAGTTTCAAAATAATTTAATATAACTTATTCAAATTGAATTTTAAAATAAAAATAAACAGATTTCGTTTCAAAATCATCAGTAAGGTTATAAATTTATCATTAGGTTGCAAATAAGCTGTTTTGTAAACAGCCATATTTTGAAAAATTATGTTCCCGTTGAAGAAGTTCTGAGACGGGGTGACCCCCCCTGAGACGGGGTGTCTTGGAAAACTATTCAGGTAGGTTGTATTATCTCTTTACGAGCCCGCGCTATGCAAAAGAATTAAGCCTGTGTATGGTTCTTTAACTGTTAACTCCTAGAACAGCGCAGATAGACCCAGACTACTAAAAGTCCTGTCGTATCTTCTAAGTGCACTAAACACGAACTCAGATAAAGTTTTAAAATAAAGCTGGTTGTTAGCACGTTAACCTGACAGTTATACAAACCATACAAGAATAGAAACTTAATAGCCACTACTTGTTGAAAACGTAGAACAGATGCTTCGATGGAATAAATTAGTATTAAATATAAAGTAACACACGCCTCTATAAATTTTGATTACGCCTTAATATTCACGAAGCAAATGCGGCTAGCGAAGATGAAGCTGATAAATCAAGTCAGTAGCAGGGATCTACAGAGTATCTACTCAGCAATAGCTGCTAAAATCTCTTTATCATTCAAGAATTCTGCGGTTATATACATTAATTAATTTGAATCCTGGTGGATTTTTACGAAAGTAGAAGTGATTGTAATGACTAACTAGTAAGCTAATTGGATTAATTAACAGAAAATCCTATATTTGATCATAGTTATGTATTTTAATCAGTTGATATATCAATAAAAAGAAAGTTCTGTTATTACGGTGTCTTCTGATACGTAAAATTCCATTGTAGCAAGACTGTGAATATGATAGCGTGGACATTCGAAGCAAGATGGCCGATGATGAAGTTCGAAAGCATGGCGTATTCTGTGGCTCAGGGTTACCCCCTCTTATCACGTCGGAAGGGAACTCCCTCCGTATCGAATTCAGCTCCGATAACTCCGTGCAAAAGAGTGGTTTTGGTGCTCTCTTCTTCACAGGTAAGCTACCTTTGAAATATTAGAGTCAAATGGGAAAGAATGCCGATTAGGAAAGAAAAGCAAAGTAAATTGACATGGATTTTATTCTGCCAGAAGCGCTTTCAGTGATTGAACACTATCGCTTTCTTCAGCTGCAAGAAGATGATAATGTCCAATCGTTGAATATGCTTCTGCTTAAATAAAATCTACGTAAATAATTGTAACTGAAGAAAATTATGGTATACAATCGCTGAAAGCGCTTTTGCTAAAATAAAATCTGTGCCAGTATTTGTTAGTTGTCTTGAACTACAGTCAAGCTTCCTTAAAAGAGTGTATTAAAAAATTAAATTCGGTTCAAAGTGCTTCATATTTGACGAAACTTGAGTCATTCTTTGATATTTAAACTTAAACAATCGCTTAATTGTGGCGAAATTTTATTCTACTATGATCTCCAGCATGAATACCATACCGTTTTAATTATTCTGCTACAAAGATATGATGAAAAAAAATTATTCTTTTAAACATTCAAGCATTAAATCACAAAGAATAGAAGATTACTCACTGCGACTTATTCCTGAATTTCAAGAATCCTGAAAACGTAGGCATAAGAAATTTTTAGGGAAACGTTTTCCAGATAATATTGAGTAAATTAAACAAAATTGTGAAAATATAATCTCGAAAATACGGAACAAAGATGAATGTTAATATCTCAAGATTGTCGTTATAATGAATATTAGCGTAATATTTTTGTGCGTGGTGTGAGTAGGCAGCACGTTCGTCTAGGAATTGGACGATGTGAAATTCGAATCTCAACATGGAAAATCGCTGCAAAGCCTGCATTTCGGTCAAGGGTGACCATACACTTTATTAAATTTCCTATGTATCTCAAAACGTTTTAACGCCATTTTTCATGATGCCATTTGGAGAATTTATATTTTTTGTTGGTTTAATTGAAAAAAGGGAAGATTTGCAGTAATCGAAAACTTTATTTGACTTCATATTCAGCAGCTGAGCTTAAACTGAGCTTGAAATTTGCTTGAAGTGGACATACGTTGTGCGAAAAATTATAAAAAAAAGAGGGGGGAATTTGGGTATTATTTTGAGCAGCTGAAAGTCCTAAACTTTGAGTGCAAAACGGTTGTAAAGTTTGGATCAAAAGGATGCAAATAAGATTTAATATATAGTATAGTAATATATATATAAATTATATATAGTATAGTAATATATATATAAATTATATATATTATAGTATAGGTCCTTAAATTTGGGTGTTTTGTAGCATGGAATATATAATAGTAACCTAGATAAATCGAATTTTTTAGCATTGAAAATATAAGCAAGAACTGGACTGTAAGTGACAATTCTTTCAAGCGGAATAACGAAGAGAAATAAAAGAATCTGAAATTCTTAAGACCCTTGTGTTAAGACAAGGACTGAAATTCTTAAGACCCTTGTCTTAAGACAAGGACTGAAATTCTTAAGACCCTTGAATTTCAGATTCTATTATTTCAAGCCGCTAGGAATTGAGGAATCATCTTTTTTAAATTATATTCTTTCACTCCACTCACTATCTATAACCACAGGGAATTCTCAGTTCCTGCTCGATAGTAAGAACGTGCGAATAAAACGTTTATACGAAGTCGCAAATGTATATGAGCACATAAAGTAGGAAGTCGTAAATGTTTTCTTTGTACGGCTTGAAAATATGTGCCATTTTTTAGACACAGAGAGTCGTTTTATTTGAATTTTCCTAAGCGAAAGAAAAGAGACTCACGCAGAGTGTATGATATACCAGTCAACAGCAGCTGCAAGTTTATGGAAACTGGAGGGTAACTTCAAACATTTTAAGTATATGCTGCCCAGAAGTTGTTCTTATACCATCTATTTTTAAATGCATTCATTTGAAGCATTTTTATGCTTTTTTACTCTCAGCAGCTGAAGCAACAAATAAATACCATTTAAGGGTCTTTAAGATGCTGTTATGCTGAAGAAATTTGTTTAAGGTGTACGTATAGAAGCGGTTTTATGAAGTGAGGAAGGCCCATCTCTCGTAAAATTTTAGGCACTTATCATCTTAAGCTACAGTGTATGTTTACTATTGCTTACAATCTGCTAACTGACACATCATCTTAAGCTACAGTGTATGTTTATTATTGTTTACAATCTGCTAACTGATTTGCGGGTCCGCTGAAACGTGGAGACTCGAAAATGCAAACTGTGTTCTCCTTTGAGTGCGTCATGAATGCAAATTCTTTAGAACTGTCTTTCTATCTTCGTAATTCCATAATATCTTTTAATTATGTTGCATTGCTTTTAATAATTTTAATTATTTATTTATATAATTTTTAGATAAGGATGAGTGTGCCACTGGAAATGGCGGTTGTCAACATATTTGCAAAAACACAATTGGGAGTTATGCCTGTTCTTGCCATAATGGATTCGTATTACACGAAAACTTACATGATTGCAAAGAGGGTAAGATTTTGTTTGTTTTAAATGTTCTCTTTATGAATTTTGGCCATTATATCCTCCGTCTTTCTGGCAATGACCAGTGCTCAGGAGACATACCATCTCGGAATTATGCAAATTTTATGAGAATTTTAAATTTCAGCGTAAAAGGGAAATATATGTTATTTTTATAGTTTTCCTCATAATGTGGGATGTAATTATAAACAACTTGCCGTCCAGGCATTGAAAATGTTAGTGAGTGTGGTTGTCGTATTATCGAAGGTCCCAGGTTCGAATCCAGGAGAAGGCATGGATGTAAATTGTCTGTCCATTCAAAGGAGGCAATGGTCACCCACCAATTAGGGGCCTTCACAATAAAGCGGCCAACGCTTCCTGCCTTAGTAGTGGCTAACGCCTATGGTGGCTATTTCCAGCCTTTGGGGGGAAAAAAATTATAAACAACTTTAACCCTTAGAGTGTCTTCTATCTATGTAAATCTCAAGTATTTACATGTTGTTTTTAAAGTGTTAGAGTTGAAAATTAACCCAATCTAGTAAAGCAAATATTACTGTAATAACTTTAATGGATAAGCAGCAAATTACACTTAACTGTAATTAACAAATTAAACAGGATAATACTTTTATTGAATGAATACTGAATCTATATAGAAAAGATAAAATAAATATTCTTTTAAATACAAGGGCTTAAATCGAGCTGTTATTTTGGACCCTACCGATACAACATTTCTCTCAGGTTCAGAAATATGTTCAACTCTAATTCATAAATAGTATGTTTGAGTTTTTCCAGTAAAAACTCAAATTTGTACTCAAATTGAAATTCCAGTTCAGATATTTTTCCATTTCATTTTCATACAAAATAATGCAGACTTCAGATTTTTGTTCTATAATAATTCCGAAAAAAAATATTATGTATTTCTTCAATTTATTTATTTTTATTTACATACAGTTATTCAATTATTAAGGGGACCGGAAAGTAATGATCGCTTTCTTACATTAAATTCAAACGAATACATTTTTAACAATTTTTTATTTTTAATCAGTAATATCATCACCCTCGTTATCAACAAACTTTTGCCATCTAATGTGCAGATTTTCAATCCCGGACCGATAAAAATCAATTGGTTTTTGAGTGAAATATCTCTAGAGGACATTTTGGATATCATCCAAATTTTCCATTTTTTTGCCACTGTTGTAGGGATCCGAATAAATGGAAATCCAATGCTGCGATATCGGCCGAGTATGGTAGGTAAGTATGGTAGTACCTCCCACCCCAATTCATTAATTTTTTCCAGTGTTCGTCTTGCACAATGCGGTCTTGCATTATCGTGTTGCAGAATGACGCATTTTCTGTTGACAATTTGATATTTTTCGATTAAATATTGGTTCACTCAATGCAGTGTTCACACTAAAGGTCTGCATTAACAGTTTATCCAGGTTTCAGCAAATTAAAATGAACAATTCCGCGAATATTCGACCAAACGCACAGAAGCACCTTTTCGGGATGTAAACACGTTCATTCGGAAAGAGCCACTGCCTTTTGCGTTTTGGATTATCATATAGACCCATTTTTCGTCTCCAGTAATCGAAAGATCCAAAACGGTTCTGTATGGTTCCATTGCATATGGATGGATCAGTTGGCTTTGTTCTCTTCAGACAGATTATAGGGGACCCAAACACCTGCTCTGCTTATTTTTCCAATCTGCTTTAAATGTTCTTGGATGGACGACCAAGGTAGGTTAAGGGTGTTTGACATGGATTTGCGTCCACTTCTGCCCTTAGCATATCGTTCTCTAATGTTGTTGGTCTTCCTGATCCATAGGAGTCAGAGAGATCAAAATTACAGAATTTGAACTTGAAAACCATCTTTGGCATTTACGAACGTCTAATACACGTGGATAAATATTGCAAATGCTTTAGGTCGCAACTGTTGCTTTACTACCCTTGCGAAACTCAAAAAGCATACGATGCCGGATACGCTCTTCTGGTATTTGGCTGTTCATTTCACCCAAAATTGCTAAAAAAAAAAAAGTTTAATATTGAATTATTTAGAAGTGAGCAAGTCACAATAACCTTAAAATGACTTTGGCATGCCTTCGAGATACACAATGAGCTGGCAAATGACAATCAAATATCGACATGTGCAGAAAGGACATTATTTTCCGGTCCCCCTAATATAATGATGAGTTATTCAATTCCGGTATGACTATTCAGTTGTAATGATGATTATGATAATTTAGTACGATTATTCAGTTATGTTAATGATTATGACAATCGATATGAGTACTTAATTGTAATTATTCAGGATTATTTAATTATGATGATTGGATATGAATATGCAGTTATGATGATGATGATTGAATTCGATATGATAATCATTATCATATATATGATATTATTCAATTACGATTATTTAATTATAATTTTTCAATCAATGACCGTTACTTCAATATTATTTTTAATATTCAAAATAGTAAATATTTCAAAATTGATTGTCTGTTACCATATACACAATTTTTTAAGTTTTGTGTTTTGTTATATTTGCAGGAAGTTGTAGTCACCAGATAACTACGCCGTTTGGAGAGATTACAAGTCCAAATTATCCCGATTATTATCCAGGTCGTAAAGACTGCACTTGGCTCTTCACCACAACACCTGGTCACAGGATCAAACTGGTAACATTTCACCATATAAAATTGATGTATATGCTGTTTGTTCGTTGTTTGTTGTGTGTTATGTATGAAATTAATTGGGTATTTAATATATCAGTCATTAAAGCAAAGACTTACAAAAGGAAGATAAACGGGAGAATTTGTACCGTTAATTGATGTCCAAAATATTATTTGTTTGTTGTTAGTAAGAGCAATGTAATTCATTCCTTTTAAATGTATATACTGGTATGTGCGTTTTATTCATAATAGATTGAATGCGCACAGAACCGATGATAGCTCGATAAAATTTATTTACCAAAGGAAATACTTAAGAGTTCTGGAAATTTCCGCAACAATACTCGTATAACTCTTCTCAGTATCACAGAACGCATTTCAAAATAAATGCTACTAACAATGTTACACATAACGCAGTGCAAAGCGCATCTAAAGCGCGAAGCTCACACGGAAATATCTTAATACTCGGTAGTCGTGTCGGAACTGAGAAACAGAGATATGATTCTGCCTCCGGGTTTACTTAATTTTACCCCGACCCCGAGAAATCTCTGGTATCTTTCATTTCATGAAATTACTGGAAGGCATATGCTGTTAAAATTACATGTAAGAGTCGGGTACGGTTAGAGTTACACATAGGGATCAATTGCAGTTATTCAGTTACAGTACCAATTTTATTTAGGGTGTAAGATTCTAACTTGTGTACTTTAAAGTTACTGTTAAATTTGAAGAATCTTAAGAACTGGTAAGCGAATAATCGCTTGTGTTCGTGAGACTTGGGAAGGATTAAATACCCTTTATTATTCCAATATAAATTCACAGAACTCCTTCTTGGAGTTTTACAAGGAAGGGGGCTTACAAGGAAATTTTACGGGCTTTAACTCAGGAACTAAGAAATTAAACTTAACTAATCCTAATTAAAACGATATAGCCGAAGGTATCAAAATTCTAACAGAGTTGGCCCCTTAACGCTAAATAACGGCGAAGCTATCAAGGGGCCTAAAGTACGGCCGAGAGTAATAATAGCTTAAGCGAGAGTAGCCTAAAAAGGCGGACGCGCGCTAGTCAGAATCACTGGTTCTCTCTCAAGAACTCAGTGGAACTTCAGAGTTAAATACTTCTCCTCATCTGCATTCAAACCCGATTCTAAAAATACGTTCTGGCCGGAAGTTGTAAGCTTGAAATTAAGAAAGGATAGGAAAGTAACTTTAACTCAAAATTTAATTGTTAGGTAAATTAAGATAATCCTTACAAGGAAAAAAAGCGATTTCTCTCCAGATTTGGCGACAAAAATTAGTCGCCAAAACTGTCGCCAACTTGGCGATATCTTGCCAATTTAGGGATATAGCCATTTACTAAATCCCTCCGTAATCTTATTTTCCGGCAAAGCTTCGCCCTCTTCAGACGTTTCATGTTGCATTATTCAAAAGATGCTAGAATTGTAAACATAACTTCATTAAAATGATTTATGTATATGGACAAAAATTTGTAACAGCGTTATAACTATGTTTACAACCTACACAATATGTACCTTAATACAACTAGCAATCCCGATTTCATGCGAGGCTTCCGCTTTTATGACATTTTCCGCTGCCCCGGTAAATCAACCTATCTCCCGGTTTTTGAATTTTAGTCTTTATTAAGGTAAGTGATTTTCAGAAATAAATGCAATTTATTGACTTAAGGAAGTTTAAATTCTGGAAAATTTTATTTTCCCCGCCCTAAGTGATTTTGAGCATAGGTTTTGTTACTAAATCTTATTTGATCTGAGCTGTCTTTATTTACGTAAAAATTTGTAGAACTTTATATGAAGGTTCAAACAGTGTTTAATTAATTAAATTTTGTACTTAATTTTGTTTTACGTCAAGATATCATACATTATTAAGTTTATACACAAAACAGTAAGTCAATTATTTATCAGTTTTAATTTCATCGTGTTTAAAACTACTTTCATGAATTGTTTCCCTTTCCTATGCAGGATCTTCTCAGTATAAAAATTCAAGAGAATTTACAAAACAACGAAAAAGAAAGAAAATAAAATTTAGAATATCTAATTAAATATTAATATATGTTACATCATAATCATATTGCAAGCAGATGAATAACTTTAATCTTATAAACTGTATTTAAATCAATTTGGAGCTCTTTCGAAATGGTATCGACCTGCGGCACTAAAATCTCCCGGAAACTCTGGGTTTCATGTTTGAGCCAGTGATCGATTTTTAATAAATGCTGCTGTAGCTTCTCTTTTTATAATTTAAAGTCGAAGATCGTAAAAATGTGAATAGGGGAGAGTTTAAGAAAGGTATTTTGCACCTGCATAAACATAAGCGTTCTGCTTAAACTAATATTTAGATTCTAACTATTTTTCCTTAAACTAATATTTAGATTTAAAAATGTTTAGCTAATTTCGGAAGAATAAAATTAGTCCTATATTCTGCGTCTTTCCGAATACATGCGATGAATTTGAATTTTCACAGTTTGGCTCTCGTTAAGTTTGCGTTTTTAATGGACAGTGCTTGTTGCTCGTGCTGCCCTCTGATGGTCGTTAAGGAAAGCTCTTACGTTGGATTTGAAGTACAAGCAAAAGAGTTGGATTAAATAAGTCTTCGAAGTAGTATGTCTATTACGATAGTGTTGTGTTATTCTGGGTTTCTATCGCATACTTCCCAGAACTAAAAGTAGTCTCAAGGTAACCTGAAAGTATAGTTTTCTTGAGCGGACTCCGGAAAGGGAGAGCTTGAAGAATATATATACATATATAAAAGAACGGCACGTGAAGGCGGTATAAAATAAAGTCCGTGAATACGTGAGTGGCACTGAAAGCCTTTTTACTTCCTTGTACGAAGTAAAAAGGAAGTATTGTAATCGCGAAAAGTTTCAGGCAACATATTTCAACGAAAATATCCATTTTGACCCCTATCGAATGCAATTCAACGATGTTTTTGCGTGCTGTATGTACGTAAGGACAGAATAAAAGACTCTTTTCCTCCAAAAAAAATTATAACACTGCTTTAAAATTAATTCTGAAGAGAATTTTTTTTTTCTCTCATATGTTTGTAGATTGTACATTTTTTTGCTTTAAAAATGATTGGATTATGTTGTTTTTATCTTCCGGTTAAGGTTTTTATGCCTTTCGTAATTATGGAAGCAATATTTGTACATTTATCAACAATTTAAAAGCTGTTTAAGTGCGGTTAAGTTTTAAATAACATGGCGGACATATTTGTTACATTTGAAACAGCAGAATTGTAGATTTGTTGCCAGTCTAGAGAGATTAAGCTACGCAACACAAAAATAACGCCTTCATTTATTATTGCGAATTAAATCATGCTTAATCCTTTCTGGAATTTTTTCGAGGAAATAGGTGTTTAAGATTTACTTCGTAATTTTTAATACAGATATTTTGAGTTTTTATGTATTTTTGCCTTGTCGCAAAGTGAGAACTGAGTTAATTGAATGAGAAATACTAAATCGTCTGTGAAAAACTGTTTCTTTTCTGTTTTGTTCGCTTAATTTCTTTCGTACATCGTTCTAGCTTTATTATAGTATTTGAAAAGAACATGTGGCAACGATAAGATAATTCTTCAAGTGATATAAATTTGTGTATCCAGAGTGTCGTTATAGTAAACAAATATAATGAATTTTAAAGAGTGCATTTATTCTATTGTGGTTTATGCGCTGTCGACGAAGTAGATTTAATTCAATCCAATCGATTTAAATGAAATTCAAGAAAAAAAATGTGTGTAATTAAATATTCCGTACAAGGAAGTCATGTGGTGTACACATCAGATTTTTTTATTTTACTACTAGTCGCTATGTGGTCAGCTTTCGTCTGGCTTTTAAATGTACCGTAAAAATGCCTAAAGGTAACACCAAACATTAAATTTAAAACCCGCAGAAAATTTTACTCTGCAGAACAACTTTATCATAAAAATAGAAAAAAAAAATTCAATAAAAATGTATCACATAATAAAAAAGTTACATGGAAATAATCACTCCTTAATACAAATATTAATTATCCTAATAAATAAATTAATCAGTTTTTCATTGCAAGATCTTAAGAATTCAAATGGTATAAAGGCAGTTAAGAACTTTGTTTCCTAAAAACAAATCATGCAAAACGTTTTATATAATTAAAATTATATATCATTAAAACATAATATCAAAAATTTACAATGAAATAAATCTCGTATTTCAAGAGAAAACAGTCAGGAGTCCAGTATCCAAAGCAATGAATGAAAAACTGTTGCCAAAACCACATTTCTAAAAGAATGAAACTATTCAAAACGATGCGATTTCATCAAAAGATAAAATTTAAAAAATCTGATTCGAATTTTTAAAAAAATCGCTTCGAGGTGCTCAGGCTCTTGCCTAGATGCACCTATGTGCCAAATTTCGTAGCCCTGGATGTATTAGCTTACGCGAAGCACGAACGAAAGGCACTCAGACAGACTCTTTCTTTTATTATATGTAGAGAAGATACCAATGGATAATACATTTCAATTTCATTTTACTTATTTCCCGCAGCTAACAGAACACCAGCAGTGAGCAAAATACGTATTTAAAAGGTATTACATTATTGTAAGAACATATTTTGGTTCGAGAATTTTTTTCAGCTATTTGCAGTGTGAGTTAATAGTATCTAAAGTTTCTCCATTTGGAAGTTTTTTTTTTTTTTTTTTTTTTTTTTTTTTTTTTTTTTTTTTTTTTTTTGATAATTTTAGACTGGTTATAAATAGGTTTTTGTCACCAAATTTCGTAACATGTGAAATTTGCTGAGCTAACCTAGTAACGTGGCCTCGAGAGGCAGAAATATGCGAATTGAAAAACCTCAGCTTAAAGTATTCCAGTCTAATTTGCATTCTGGTGAGGAAACGGAAGGGAGAAGTAACAGAAAAGCTCTAAAACATAACTGATTAATGAAAAATGACAGTAAACGTTACGTATTTTTCCTCTCATTTCTTCTCGGAGAGATACCAATTATGAAATGTATATCTGATATTCGGCAA